AACTCAAGCATTTCAACTATGATTTTAACCTTCCGGCAACCGCCAACCTTTATGTGGTCATGAGGCCGACCTCATTCACCAGGGGTCAGGGTTTCACTTCGAGACCCTTCTACCCCTTCTACGGTAAAGGCTGAAGCCCCACATATAGTCATCTTTGTCATTCGGGCAGCCTTGTTACCATGCATCGGTATCCCACATCCGAGTTAACGTTACCTTCGCCTTCAGGGAAAGGTGGAAGCACCAAGCCTTCCGTGGGCTTTTCCATTCCAGCTTCTTCTGACCTTCTCGACAATACTGCACATTCATCTACCCGATCACTGGTAAGTGTAAGTGTAGACAAGAACTAACCAATCTGTTCCAGCCCTGCTATCTGCCGGCCTGCTACTACCGATCGAAGTGGTTTTCAATCCAAAAAAGCTTTCCAAATTCTGTAGGATGCTTAGTGCTTCACGTTCAGCAGTAACAGTCTCAGACCGTCCGCCCTGAAAAAAAGTGTGACAAGAAGATCCATGATGAAGAAATCGGTTTCTTACCGTTTTTTCGTTCCTTGTAACCGATTGACTGTAGGATCGGCGACTTCTCTGCGAGCTGCTTTCGGGAGGGTTGCCACGGCTTGTCGACGACGACGCTTCAGTTGTGTATGGCTTACGACGAGGCATCTCTGAGTCTTCTTTGCTGTCGCTTTCGTAGACATCATTCTCCAACGTCAAGGGTTCCGAAAATGATGCGCAACAACACGCTTCTGGATCGGCTGAAACACTTTCTCTTCAGAATGAATTCCGGGGAAGAAATTCGAGCGGACGAGTTATCAGTGTACTGGTTACCTTCGCTGATTCGAATCGAGTCGGCATTGAGGAGAAGCCGCGACGTAGCACAAGACAAACACTGAATGGATCCCAAATTAAGGCGAATATATTCAACTCCTGATTGATCCTGGAGTAACGTTCGTCTACCAGCGCTACCCCGCTTCCCCCTGTCCTATCTGTTTGTCGTAGTTCACGTCCTTTTTGGGAAGGATGTTTCGAAAAAAGGCCTTCGAAGGCTTTCAGCAGCTGCTAACTGATTAGCTAAAAATCGTGCCAACCGCACTGCAGAACTGCCAGTTCGCAACAAAGCGTAAAGTACTTTGCCAATTGTTAGCCCCTTCGGAGGATAGGGTTGTGTTCTGAGCTTACCTCTGAACGGTCGTCGTCGTTGCAGGTTGAACATGATGGTGAGCTGCAGCGTTCTTCCTTTGATGGTCCCATAATGTCGTACAAGGATTGCGCTGGAAACACTGGCCGATCATAGTGATTACTTGTTCCCATCTGAGGATACCCACGGTCAAATGATGTCTGACGGTGCCTGCGTCGCTGCTTTCCACCAATGGTCGTCACGCAAACATTGCTAAATGGATCGCAGCAAATCGCATCTGCAATTTTAACTTGGAAGGGAATTGTAGTGATCGAAACTTCGCCCACGAACCTCTCAATGGAGCTCGCAGAAGGACGACAGAGAAGTAGGGATGACTGGATGGCAGAACCCAACTTGCCAATAAAACCGGATGGGCGAACACACGTTCAAGGCTCATATATTCGGCCTGAAGTAAACTTGAATGAGAAGTTTTCTCTTGGAATCCACAGAATCTAAGTAATTTAAGGTAAATTATTTTAAGACTCCGATAAAAGACTGGAACAATTGGGTGGAATAGATTTGCATCGAAGTCAAGAGCATAAAGGATATGAGAAATTGTATATTTGCAAGGATGTTTTATCTCCCTGCTCCTAAATCAGTCATAGTGAATCAGCCCATGGTTGCTTTCATTTTGACTTTATCCTACCCATACCCATAAAATCTAAAATCAAATGCAGCTCTTGAGTGATGGGTATGTAAATGACCAGTATAGTGCGGGAACCCCTCGAAGACAGATCTCCCGTCGGTCTGGATTCTTGACGTTGGCTAATCAAACCTTTCCATAATTGTCTAGATTGAGAATATCGCTGTCATAACCTACCACAAACAGCTCCGAAGTATATTTGGGATATACTCGTAAGTAACCTGAAATATAGTGACCATCACAACTTCAGGTCAAAAGGCCAATAGAGAAATTGGGACATGATTGATCGGAGTTTCCCCTCTTGCAATTAGTCAGCAGGAGAGTATCAGGCGACGATTTTCGTTATCATGGACTGCTTGGGAAATTTTGTGACGTCTAAGCAGCTTGAATACAAGGATTTGGGGATTTGGCGAAGTTTCTCAACGAAAACATTCTTACACGGTATTCCCATTCACTAGAGGTATTTAAGGGCAAAAACATCATTACCCTAGACATTATAACCGTATTTCATGCTCACTACATAAAATGCAAAAGACCTTCCCATGCCGGGAATCGAACCCGGGCCGCGTGGGTGAAAACCACGAATCCTAACCACTAGACCACATGGGACATGTTCTGAGTGGTCGGTAGAGCTCCTCACATATGATATGCGCCTCGGAAACTTTGATTGTTACACATTGCTGTGTTGAACTCAGGACCACCTGAGTCATAATATTGACCCAATCTGATTCTAATTTTCGTTGAGCGGAACTTTTTCCCAGCTAGATTTATTCAGCTGTAAAACACAGGGGATTGGAAGTATGCCAAGTCGTAATAAATTACTCCGAACAGCTCCACAAATAGTTTTAGAGTAAACAAAAAAAAAACTCTCAGTTCTCATAAATATCTAGAAAAAATGTGGCTCACAGATCTGTTGAACTCGATGCTCATCGTCCTTGATGGTGTAACTTGGATGGCACACTTGAGCGTAATGAAATTGTGGAGGGCTGAAGCATGGCTGGGAGATGAACGATGTAGCACCAGAAGGACAGCATCTGAAACAAAATACCCATTGGGGGAAATCTATCCTGGGTCTCTTTCCTATTCATCTATGTCAATCTTAGGAAACCTACTCAAGTGCAGAGCAGTAGAGGACTTACCTTGAATATCGCCCTGCGGGTTGCCCAAAGTGTCCGTATCGGAATCGATGAAAATTCTGAGCAGGAAAATATTGGGAATAGTGGTGAGTGCTTTGGGAATATCCTGGGTTGGTAATGATGGGAATATCGCGTATCTTCGGTTGGACGGAAGCCGATTGACTGAGGTGTGACACTGGCCTTGACAGTAGAATGTTAGCACGACCATGAGATTGATAGCTTAAGGATGGAGGATGAGGACAGGTACAGCGAAGTTCATTTGCTGAAATCGAAGCTAATAATTTTGATAGAGCATTTCAAATGTTAATTCATCTGTTACAACGACAGATAATGAGCTTCTACAGCCTGGGGAACTTAATTGTTGAATATTACGAATTCCGACACAGTAATCCGTAACTTTCCACTTGAATTCTTAGAAGTAGTCTCTTCTGGACGGAAGCCATTCCATGAAGTTATTTAATCAATGTTTGATGAAAAGTCCATCGCACCAAACCTTCATAGACCGCCCTAGACTTACACGAAAGGGAGAATGATTGATTGGAGAAGGGAATCTTCAGCGGTTATCAGGTGCTATCGCTTAATATCAACACTTTTGCAAGTATCATTACGATTAACACTTAGTTTGTGGAATCGCCGGAGTGAAGGCGGTCCGTTTCAAAGTAGTTCCGATGAGTTGTTTACTGTTTACAATCGCCAGCTTTGAGAAAGGCCTATGGGAGAATTCCTCACTCGCTTCTCAGTCCTAGTCAGGTTCTCAAGATGAATTTCATGGGAATCACCCAGAATACCAGAATCGAACATGTCGTGCCATAATACCCTCCCCCTCCCCCCACCCACCATCTCCTGCCCCACCCATAAAAAAACAATTAATTACTCACCGTTACTGAAGTTACGCTGTGAGTAGTTGATAGGGATTTGTGAGCGTTGACAGGAGCAAGAAGAACGACTTCGGCTGGAAATGGTGTTACTCAGAAACCTTCAACGGTGTACCAGCAATGTACGCTCACTGTCGGCATTGCTCAGCCATTCAGGAAAAGATCATCTGCAAAATGAAACACCTCAACCTATCGAATACATCACCTCCTATAATTTGTGACTTTTCAAACAATCAAAGTATCTATTCGGTGGTACGGCAGTGTTGCCCGTCATCGCGTGGCTGGCGGCTCGAATAAGACTTCCGTTTACAGCTGATTCAGAAATCTCAGTTGCGACTAGAGTCCTTTTCCTGGCTTCTAACTTTATGGGGTTCTGGAGTAGATATGTTGCGACGCCGTGCTTCAATTGAGAGGGAAAAGGCTTAATGACCCGAGCAGTTCGGAGAGGTCGTGCGCCAATACATTTGTAGGCGTGGCTGTCTTTAAAAATGTCCTAACGGTTTTCAGGACCACCTTTTGACATAAATGTTGTCACGAGAGCTTGAAGAAGAGGTGTGCGAATAGTAAGCGAGCCTTTGAGGTGAAAATAAAGTCTGGGAGGGGAAACTCTCTTTCAACATTAGGGTAA